AAAAAAATTCTTTAAATTTTCTTTAAATGTTAAATTATTCTAGCTACGGCTAGCTACCTATATGAAATGATTTGGTGAAAATCCGATGCATAAAAAATTATCACTCTAAGAGTTCGGCACCCGTTACATTAGTGTAAACTACGACGCGCGTATACTACACGATCACGTACGTATCGCTACTCCGCCGATCGTTCTACACGCCCTTGTCTGGGGTTTTTTCGTTTAAGGCTCATCTCGCAAAAATTTGATTATAACGACTATAAGATCATAACGCCCCTAGTGCACACATAAAACTCGAAATTGACGCGCGATTACGTCACGATCCACGTGCACGGCGCGCGGTGTAGTTCGCAAAATATTATTGTAATAATATTACACCGCCAGGACGATGCGTCGGCGAGGCAGGTTTTCGGAACGGAAATAAACGTAATGATATGTGTGCACAGGTATTATTCACCTGCGCACCCATACGAACGGTTTTCTCGTTCCACCAGTGTTATTAAATTTTTCAATACCTTGCATACTTTCGCTTTACATTCTGTTCGTCACGCGGCGTTTTCGGTACACCAATTAAATACTTGATTTTTAAGAAGTTTTAAAATTCAAAACTTATAACGATGTACAGCGATGTACAAACGAAACAAAATACCTAAATGCAAACAAGACTATAACGTTATAGTACGTACGTAAGAGACAATAGTTCTGTTGGGAAAAGATGCAAGCGCTAATTGTGACATGAACGTTTGATGTCATTTTATGCCACTTTCATGAAATATTCATACGTATTTACGTCGTTGAACTACCTACGTATACCGTATCACAGTTATAGATTATTAATATTTAGGTTTTGTGAGCGAGAAAAAAAAAGGTTTACGGATCATGATGTGAACTTTGTTTTGAAAACAATAAAATGTGGCAACCCTGAGCGTATACATGTATATTATTGTACACGCGTTCGCGTTCGTATAATTTAATATAATATACAATACATATACACTTTGTTTCCAAAGAGATCATACGAATTTACACTTTGCCGACGTCGAAGTAAAATGTAAAATGTAAAAATGTAGGTATTTTATAATTTTTTGAAAACTTACCCTTAAAACAAAATTATAGACTCGCCGATGTATAAAAATGCACATGCACACACATACACATATATGTATATTCGTATACCGAGAAAAAATTTAATTATTTTTGATAATGATTCCCCAAAGAAATTTGAAAAGAGTATATTTTCATAAATAAAACCCACCAACGGATGAGATAATCATGAAAACCCCCGATTCGGGATAATCTGTAAAATTACTTTCGTGTGATTGTAGATGATATTTCTACGATGAACTCAAAAATGATTTATTATAATATACATGAGATGAAGGACTTTTATTGTACTTAAATGTATCAGTGTAATGTATCACATTGCACACGATTTATCACTTCTCTAACGACAATGTTAAACATTTAATCAATTTTTTTCTAAGAATTGTACTGAATATTCAATGTTTTCCTTTTACGGCAAGTAAAACTTATTTCCCCCTCCCATATTCTCTCATTTTGCTATCACCAATCGTTTTTTTTCGAGCTTAAAATTGGAAATATTACTTTAAAATTATTTTCATTGACTATATTTCCATATAACACATACAATGTTACATATATATATATATACATATATTCAATGGTATCTTTTGTGGAATTATTGAATTTTATTGTAGAATTGTTCAATTTGTAAGAATATTTTTACAACAAGCTCGAGTGAATAGAGTATAATCTTGAAAAATACTAAAACATGTATGATTTATTCAACTGAGCGATACGTAATTTGGTTGCAACAAAAAGTAATATTAACGCTTATTATATGTAATCTTATTGATCTTCGGTGTACCTGCTTAATCGGCGAAACAAAACCCAAATATTTTATCAAAATAAATCTTCGTCTCTCAGGTGATTATTCAACTGGTATTATAATATATTAAGGAAGTGATACCGAACTTGCGGAATGCACAATGGATAAATGCATACATTATAATATGCCCCAACCCAGAATAGTTGTAATTTCATTAATATACATCCTGCTTTTATCCGTCACCTGCTGAGTACAATTATTACCTTCAGGAGTCCCGGCCCCGTGTTATATCGTGTCATATATCGGTCAAGTCACGTATATAAATCTATTTTAAGCTGCAAGTATATATTTGTTTACTTATTTTTCTTTTGTTCTATGATTGTTATTAATATTATTACGATATATTTACCCGATGAGTTAGCTATCTCGGGAGTGCTTCATCAACAGCTGCTGGAGCAATTACGAAGCACCCGTGGGTTTATATTGCGGCGCCGACGTTTCGAGAGGTCCTGAAAATTTATGCAATTATAATGTTCACATCGGCTCGTCCGTATGCACGCATATATTATATTTCGGGGAAAATCTATACGTTCGCAGATATCTATATACCTATACATGTATATAAGAGTTTTGCATTTTAAGTGCTAATATGTAAATCGTACCATTCAATACCAGTTCCTATACATTATACGTATATTGTAATTACTGATTAGTATGTTATTACGACTATTAGTATTATTATTATTATGGTTAATATTAGTGGTATATTGCATTATTTTCGTTGTCCCGATTCCGAGATTAACGTAGGGGTACTAAAGAATAATAACTACAGTATAATACGTATTTTGATTAGAAAATAATGAAAACAATTATGATCAGCATGTATTACTCCTTGCAGCATCGCCACTATGACTAATTGTATGGACATCGGTCTTGATGTGTACTACGAGAAATCAACGCACCGAATGATAATGATTATTATTTATAAAAAAAATGTGAAATATAATAAATGATTTTGTTTTACTCTCTAAAAATTTAACGCATAACACAATATTTGACTTGGTTCTGTATTTATATGATATTTTGAATTACATATTGGTAATTATATTTAATATCCATATAATACTATATCGTGGAAGTGGCTATGTTTTAAAAAAAATGTTTTCACTTTAGTATATGCATAAAGATATACACTGACAATTAGTGACGCAATTCGTTACACAGAGTTTTTAAACTTTTCTTTAATAAAGTTAATGGTGTTAATTAACCCAAGATCAGCTCCTAATGCGTTTATTATATAAAATTATTTAACCTTTATAATGCATATTTTATACTTAATTATGTGTGTATATGTTTTGAAAATGCATTTTGAAACTTATGATGTTGTTAAAAAATTTCTTTCATTCTCCACATAATCTATCAGCCATGAAAAGTGGTATATTTTCTTTTTTCGCTTAATCCTCAAAAATCATAAAAAAACTAAAATACCAAATACCATTCTAAGGTGGAAATATGGACGTATATATACATATAATGTTAAGAACTTAACTATTGGTCCCAAAACAATAGGCACTAAACAATATCAGTGTTGAAGGAAATTTGGTTTTTCTCTCCGGAGTCTATTGTTTTGGTATAATTTCTGAAGCACTTATTATTATTATTTCTACACTGTTTACCGCCGTTGTGGTAATCCACCGTCTATTCACATATTTTACAATAACAAATTCACGATTCCGTCATGAATGATTTGCTGTCATTACTAATTGGTCTGATCTCTATAAGCATATACAAAAAAAATTAAACGCAACGTTAATCAGCGCGGGTCAATGTGTGGCACTGCGAATGACGGCGAGTACGTCAAATGTTGACAAATACGGGAACATGTTTTGAAAAAACATATATTATAATATTATAAAAAAATACATTATTGTTCAGTTCGTTTCGAACCCAGATTTTTGAGTCAACGAAAACAGTTGACCCTAAAGAAAAAAAGAAAATCGTGAGCATTTTGTTTAAATATGGTTTGTGTCATACACTCGACCGTGCGATGTTATAAGCGTTAGTTTTTTCTAACTAACCTTAAAAAAAAAAAGGTTGTTGGGTACAAGTACATGTAAGTTCCGTGCCACGATAACTGAACCTAATTCAAGAAAAATGTCGCCCTCCTCCCGACGCAAAGGGATCATCCTTCAGACTTTCACCCTCGCGGCGAGCAATAGAACGCGCACCGTCGTCACCAAATGCGATTCATCCCTTCAGCGTTGCAAACATCGTGATGACCACATGCGACATGGATACGCGTCAAGTATTGCTTGTCGTACGCGAAACCCATTTCCTAGACGAACACGCAATCGAAATGGATACCGGATTAGGTTTCGATTCGCAATGCCCGACCACGTTTTGCAATCGGGTGATAAGTTTTATCGGTTTCGCGCGGATGGACGCGTGTAGTGCTCGTATACCAAACGTTTTGCTGTAAACGGAAAACTGTCGATTTCGGGGCAAAAATAAATACCAATACTAAAAATTAATTAGCAATACCGCCGATCGGTACAATGTTAATGATGTTGACGACGCGCGAAACCATGGCATCAAACGTGTTAAATATTTTGAATTAAATAATATGGTCAACTTTTAGTAATTTTACTTAGATTATTAAAAAACTTTTGGCTCCTCAGTGTTAATGGCACCCGGTGCACACACACCTCTCGCACGATCCTAGGTACAGCTCTGACTACTTATAATTAACAATAAATGCGGTCGATTTAAACATTTTGCATACGGCACGATCTCGTTTTTTTTTTTTTTTATTTTTTTTTTTTTATTTTCATAAACATTAAAATTTAAATTATAAGCAAAAGTAAATCGAATAATTAAAATGTCTTTTTTTTTTTAAATTATTATAAAAAAAAGTACAGATTGATGAGAAACGAAACAAAATTCAATTAACTTTTTTCGACTTTAATTTATCTTCCATTCAAACGTTTCGATTCGTTTTACGAAATAAATTGTTTCAAAACATACCATGATATGTATACCACGGTTCATTGAAATAAACAATTTATTTCATTTGCACCCAAATATTACATTGTATTGTATTTGAATGCATATTTTATAATAATTACAATATTATTGTGTTGTGTGTTCACAGCTGTTGGGCCTAATGGAGTGATATCTGGAGACAAAAAAATCCCAAAAGAGTGTTTTGTCAAACATTGCGACCAGAGGAGGAAATATCCGGTGCTGTACAAATTAGAGTTTCAGGTAATTATTATTGAAATATTCACTTTTTATGTATTTGTTTTGACGCGCGTCACAATGACGTCCACTAATGTGTTATTTCTGCTGATGTATGTAGTGGACATAATTCAGTGAAATTAAAAAAACCTTATATTCGTACAATGTTACGTATAAACATTAAATTCGTAATTTGCTGGTATTTTTCTCTTTTTTTTTTCATTATAACTAACATGCGTGTAATAAATTAAACAAAGGTATAATAATATAATATTAATGTATAATCAATTATATCAAAGGAGTTTTAATAAACAGGGAGAATTGGAGGGATGTTGTTGTTACGGCAATGGATCTTAATGGTCTTAAAGACGTCTTAAGAGAAAAAGAAGAATCAATTATATTGGTAACGGTAAATATTTATTCATTTTCAAGCTCAAACGCGTAATGATTTTTTTTTATATTCATTTTTAAATTGGGTTATAAGCTAACTAAAATATTTATAATTAGTGATACATACAATAGTTTATTTCTAAATTCGGTTATACATATAGTTTTGTTTATGTTGTCTAAAATTGGGCTTATAGCTTCAAAGAGGTTGTCAGTTTGTCCCAGGCTTTTCCTAGTTACCACGCAAAGTGGATTCCGTATTATTGTAAACGGGATTATGATCGGTACATCTGAGTTGATAAATATTTTAATAAAATTCGATATACGTAATATATAGGATTAAATGTCTTGTAAATGTTTACACACCGCGTAATCAACAGAAATCGCATTTCGCATCACAAATCATCCCATTACGTGTAGGCGCACAACGGTCGTCGGCAAAACATATTAGTCGTACAAGATAATGCTAAAAACAACGCTGATCGACGGTTATTCGCATTTGGTTAAATTTTAATTGTCATTCGTTACCGTATACGATGATAATGGTAAGTTGATTTGTATAATATTCTAATATATTTGAAGACACGTACATTACATCAGTTTCAATGTTTTTTTAAATAAAGGCCTAATTCATAATAATATTTACTTATTTATTTATTTATTTATTGAATAAAATAACAATTTTACATAAAACAAATTATCTTTATGACTAAACGGAATTGGTTTCCTTCAAGCCAGTGGCTGTGCGGATATGAGAGTTTTAATACATTAATTAAATATCTATGATAATATATGCCGTATTGTTCGTTGACGTTTACATTAAACACCTACATATTGTACAATACCCTGTTGAACTGGTAAATCATTTTTGCAAACAATATCTGAATTTTTTTTTTCACAATAATATACGTTTATTGTATCAATAAAACCATAGACAAAACGATTATTGAACCCGAAGTTAATTATTCGATGGTGGTTAGGCAGTTACAGTTGGTATCTTTTATACAGTTGGTTTTAGAAAAAAAAATAGCGTCTGTGCAGATTGCGTTCATCGTGGTGTAATTCGAGAACTTAGACCATCTGCACAAATTTATCAACATATTACTTTAAAATGTCACTCTCGCATTGAAGTATACAGATAATCTTACGTGGTATATATGCGCCTGGTAACCATTCTTCTTTGTAGGAATCGGCCGTCAAAATATTATACTGACAAACATATTTTTGTTTTTATAGCACATACCGTAATATCATCTCTGACAATCCGTAATTAAGTTTTGTCATTCTGTATCTAATACCACTAGAATCACTTTATTATCGAACCGGTTTTCCACTCTAAACTGAGATCATCCTATCACTTACCAGACCTTTGTGTGTTGCGCCAATGCACCCAGGGCCGTCCCGAAGATTAAAATCAAGGGGAGTGAATAATATGAAAAATGCCGACTACAATTTTTTTACTCAATGTATGTAGTATAATTAACTATATGTAGTCGTATTTTTACTTTTTAACATGTATATATGTGTCAATGTCACACGTTCTTAAAATTGTCAATTTAATTATATATATAAACTCGTATATAATAATATTTTATATTGTATAATAAGTAGTTCTATACATTTTATTCTTGTATACGTATTACGAAATATGTAATATTTGTTTTCCGTAAGTAAAATTAGGTCCTTCTAGGCTATAATGAAACAAGTCCGACCGCTGGTGTTTTCTTGGGGGGGATGAGACCTCCCCAAGAACCCTCTTCGGGATGGCCTTGAAATACCATCTTTCCGCCACGCAAAAAGAGCCCAAAAGAGTCATATCATTTTTGTTTCGTCCGCGATGCTTGATTTCGAATAAATGTCCTTGACATTCTATTGTTTCTATGGGTCCATACGGTTAGATAAAGTTGTAAATGATTAATGATCTATGACAAATCAAGTAATTCGAGCCTAGATTAAGCATTCACGTCGGGTTTGTCGAAAAATACTTCGTTTATTCAAATTCCTCTATTAAAAATGACTGACTATGAGTAAAGTTTATAGTGTATAACATAACATATTGAAAAAGTTTTTACGTACCAAAATGTAAACATAATTATTTTAATTTTTTTACTATAATTGGATGAATATATATGTAACATAAGTACTATATTTTTATACTTATATGTGAGTAATAAAAATATACATCTCATTATTGTATACAATTATTAATGAGTAAACTAATATTGCTTACGATTTATGTGACAAACCGTTCGGATAACCTTATAATATTAAAATATTATTCTGTAATTCATAAAAAAAAAAATTTAAACCTTGTATTATCAGGATTATATATAAAGGTTCATATATAAATAATTTTGTGAAATTTCTTTAGTTAATTTTATAATTTATACGACGTATTTTTGATAAAACAAAATTTTGGTTTTCAATTTACCCCTCTTGTCCTACTGCATAAAAGCTTACATGTTTTCTACTCAAGACTAAGTACCTACCGCTAAAGAAAAATACACCAAGTTAAATAAATCTTCGTAATTAGTTTGATAAGGCATGTAGGAAAATGAACACATTAGCTTAAAACTCGAAAACAGATTTTGATATTAACTTTTCTCCACCAGAGTATATAGTGATGCTTATTTTTCATCGTGGTTTCCGCTGAAAATTCTTAATCGCGACTTATTACTAATATTACAAGCAATAAACTTGAAATAATTTCTTGTTGTAGCATATAGTGCTTATACGTAGATAAAGCGCTTGTGATGGTAATGAACCAGTATAATGTGACCTATGTACACTCATTAGATGCAGTATATGTGACCTATATTATGTTTAGTGATTTATATTAAGAATGAAACATATAGAAATGTGAAATATCAAGATTTTTCAAAATTTAAAACACAGGGTTTTAAATAAAACCAATCGTGACGATTTTATAGAAGAAAAAACTCAAACAAACATAATTATACATATTTTTCTTCCTATTTATACCAACTGCTCTTGTATCAAGTCTGCATTTTGAATCTAAATAAATCTAAAAGTCAATATAATGAGCCAAAGGAAAATTGGACTTTTATCAATGTTGGTCACAACTAACTACTTAGTGTGCCGAGATAAAGAAAAAAATGGAAAACGCAATAACTTTTAAAAGAAACAATCTTATCGATAATTTTTTCATAAAAATTATATGAAAAAAATATTAATTTTCTTGTTTCAAACGGAAAACATGTTATCTAAATATTGTCGAGTTTATTAAAAGAAAACACTGATCTTGATATTGATTTGATTATTTTCGTCGAAATTATTGATTTTAAAAAATACGGTTTTTTTTTTATTTTTTTTTTTTTAATATTTATCAAAGAATTATTTTCTTGTGGTTTGAAAAAAATGTTTCAAAATACGAGCATCAATGCCAAATTGAAATTTCACTACAAACAATAATATTCACTCAAAGTTACAGAGTGTTAAGTAATTGTACACAATATTATGAAAAGCTTAAGACAAAACGGCTAAACGATTAGATTCTAGAAAACTTTTTGAATTATTTATAATACAATTTTTACGATATATATATTAATAATAATTGTTTCCAGCTCTACGTTTAATTCCACTATGATGATGTTATTTATAATTTTCATTTTTTATTAACATTTTTCTTTTTCGATTAACTTAATATAACTAATACGCAAAATTAAATAAACTATAATCATTTATATTATCAAGTACGTCTGAAAAAAAACATCAAACTCTATTTATTATATTGTGAATACATTTAAGCCTTAATATAATTTTCAACTCACTTATTAAACTTTAAGAGTATTTTTTTCTATTTATTTACAATATAAATTAATTCAATATTTTATTTAAGACACTAGAAATGTATGTTATTCTAATACAAGTAAATTTAAATTTAAAATATTTTATTTAAAATAAAATATTTACCACCTGTAATTTTTTTTTTATTTAAATAAGGCTTCAATTATGAGATTTTTAGTAAATTGTGATGTTAAGATGTGAACCTAAGGAAAGGGAGTAACATAATGTGAGATAATTCACACAATACTAATTTTCTTTAAATTAAATGAATAATGGTATAAGCAGTTTATAAGTTTTTCTCTAAATTAATTTTATTGAAAAATTTAAAAATATTGACAGTGTTCCTTGATTGAGGGCTTTTTCTGTCGATGATGGATTGTTGAGAAGGTTACGTGATGAAAAGTATTTTGGGTAGTCAATGATTATATGTACGATTATGATAGGAATTTTGCATATGTCACACGCAGGTTTGGGTTCCTTGGTGATGAGGTATGCGTGCGTGATTTGAGAGTGACCTATTTTGATTCTGTTAACTATTTGTTAATCTGTAATTCTATTTTATACAATAAGTAAATTATATGAAATATAAATACAAAACAAACATGAAGTACATAAGGAGAGACACATTATTGTGAATAGTAATCTCATAACTGAACAAGCAATAAGTTAATACTATAATTTAAAAATGAAAAATGTTATTACTATACTATTTTATGTACTTAAAATATTTGAATATCACTTTTAATTTATTAACAGGTATTTGTTTATCATTTTATCGTTTGATCAATGGGGGGTTTACTGAAATATCAAAATAGGTAAAAAAATTGTTATTA